CCCCCCCCAGAAGCTCAGTTTCCTTGTCTCCAAGATGAGGAAATTATAAGTAATTTGAGATACCACACATAAAGGAGCTGACACTTAGCAAGTTCTCAATAAATAATCACTGCCTTGAAGCCCTCCTACAAAATCGCCTCTCTCCCCCTTTGACTTAAAATCTCAAGCAGCTGACACAACTGGAGCTACCGTTACCATTCTTGATAGGACAGCTTTTGTGAAGGCTTTGTATTTGCCTGATTGATGAGTTGGCTTTTGTTTTTAAGGGAGGAGCATTTCAAACGGAGCCATCCTACTTGTCCATTAGCTGGGCTCCTTCCTCCTCTGCAGAACACATGTATCCGTAACCCAGTACGGAGAAGCTTCCCTGCGATGAAACCCAAAATGCCTGTTATTACTCAGATTAACACCGTCATCAATCATCCACGTTCCGTGAGCATCCACAATTGGTGGGCGCTACATAGAGCATGGAGGTAGACATGCCTCGTGGGTTTCTAATCTAAACAGACAGGTAGAGCAGAGACAAAGGGAAAAGGCAAGCGTGCATCTGAGACTCTCCAGGCTTTCTTTACATGCAACTGTCCGATGATGAATCACAGGGAAAAATTCAGCAACCAGGAGGGTCTATTAGAGAGCCAGGGCCTCTTGCCTTTCCCCGGAGAGTCACGGAAACCGTAGCTGTCGGCCCAGGAGTCAGAGGGTGGGCAAGGCAGGGGACATTCTGACCTTTCCCTCCTCATTTATGGAGAAGAGGATGAAAGTTGGATGAGTGTAGTAAATTATCATGACGCCTGTCATCTCTAAATTGCAGGACATGGTGGGAATATGTGTTATTTTTGCTACATAGGGCAGAGGATAGTCTACTTTGGTGCCAAAGGAGCACTGAGTACAGATAACAAGGGTTGGAGCCAAGCTCTTTAGAGACAGTTGGGGGCCCTCACCTTCTGAGGAAGTAGAAGGTAGGAGCCAGGAAGTCCAAGAAAGCCTGCTGGTAAGTCTATTGGGCAACAAATAAAGGTCAACAGTTGGAAAAACCTAAGAGGGAAGGAAGTGAAAAAATAAAATGGCAGCTATCAGGGGCAGCTGGTTGAGATGAATGGCTGTTATTGATAGAAGAACCACTCACCTGTGTGGGAATATTGACGAAACCAACAGAGGTAGAATGTGCCGGAAAGTAGAACGGTTGGCACTCCCAAGTTCCAAAGATAACCAGGATAAGTAAACCCTTCTTAAAATCAGAAAGGAGACCGTGTGTAGGACTGGTCCTCATAAGTAACATCGAAACTCGTGGGTCTTTAGAGCTGAGTGCCATCCTTACAAACTTCCCTTCTGAATCTGGGAGTGCTAGAAATCCCCCCAAAGTTCTGACTTTTTCCTCATATTAGTCCATTTGTTCATTTGATCCAAGAGGGAGGCTCGATTAAAAGACATCCTATGGAGGGGCACCTGGGTGGCTCAGCCGGTTAAGCATCTGACTTCAGCTCAGGTCATGATCTCACAGTTTGTGAGTTTAAGCCCCGCATCGGGCTCTGTGCTGACAGCTCGGAGCCTGGTGCTAGCTTCTGATTCTTTGTCTCCCTCTCTCTCTCTCTGCCCTTCCACCGCTCACACTCTCTCTCTCAAAAATAAATGAACATTAAAAAAAAAAAAAAAGATGTCCTACGGAGAAGACTTCTAGTCTCTAAGAAATTCTCCTTCAGTTTGGAAAATGTCACAGCTGAAACTAATATAACGTTGTATGTCAAATTATACTTCAACAATTTTTTTTTAATTTTTTTTTTTAACATTTATTTATTTTTGAGACAGAGAGAGACAGAGCATGAACAGGGGAGGGGCAGAGAGAGAGGGAGACACAGAATCCGAAACAGGCTCCAGGCTCTGAGCTGTCAGCACAGAGCCCGACACGGGGCTTGAACTCACGGACCGTGAGATCATGACCTGAGCTGAAGTCGGACGCTTAACCGACCGAGCCACCCAGGCGCCCCACTTCAACAATTTTTAAAAAATAAGTGACTGTGAGGTCTCTGGCCCCAGTGGGAGATGATAATTGGCCTTGTCATTGCAGACCATCAGAAGCCATGGGAGTGAACGCTTCCCAATGAAGACACAGTGGGGGGTCGGGGGGGTCTCCCCTTCTGACCAACCGGGGGCCAAACTGAAGGTTTTGTTTATTAGCACAACTCTAATTGTGATTTGTGTGATTCTGTACACTCCAATCTAACCGAAATTTAAAAATTACCTAAT